TTCATATTTTTTTTAAGTTTCTTAACTGGCAGTTTTGGAGCTAGCTAAGAACGAGGAAACAACAATGATGGTCAATAAGGAGTTCTTCATTGGTTCCAATCCCTTTGATGACATTCTGCTTTCTTGCATAATTAGATATAACTTCTTTCTTGATGTGGACTTTGTCAAATATAACAATCATCCTAAAATTCAGATTAAGCATATGTTGTCTTCCTGCTGCTGCAACACTTCTTACCTTGCTTGCTGCTGTGATTCTATTTATGCAAATTTTCTATTATGCTATTGTATTATGCTGCTTCTCTGTTGTAATTCTGTTGTATCCTGCTGCTTGCTATTTTACTTTTATGGTTGTAGAGGAACTTAAGTATCTTATTCCTTTTTGGGAAAGAATGAAACCTCGAAAATTAATAATCATAGTCAAATTTCCAGGTTCTCAGCGTATGTGTGATCAATTTTGGTTCATTCAGCTACTCTCAAATCATCAATTGAAATAACTAGGCTACCCAACGGATTTCTGTCTTAAATGTGTATGTAAGGGTAGGTTTGGATAGCTGGATTTGTATTTGGATTTTTTATTTGAATTTTCAAATCCCAAATTTTAGCGTTTGGCAGGCCCATGAATTTAGTATTTGAATTTGGGCCAAATCCATCCTGTATTTCGGCCTTCAGAAATAAGAATATTTCAAATACGCGCTGGACGGTACTGATTCTAAAATACAATCCGACGACTGAAGCCTCGCTGTATCCAGAGGAAAATCGTTCCCTTCGCCGCCATCTCGCTTCATCTTCTCATCTTCGCCCTCCATCCGCAACCATGGTCACCGATTAATCTCCTTCTCCTTACCCACCGCCACTGCCCACCGCCCTCCAACCGCAACCAGCAGCTCGCCTGCCCTCCACCGACTATCATTTGCTCGTTTCCCTTCTTCGTGTTCTTCGAATCTTGGAGGTAAGTGAGATTTCGTACTTTGGATTTATTTGCTACCGTTTGCTACAGCTTCTGAATACTAAACTTCCAATACCCAAACCCTTAATGCGCAGATCTGACCATCAACTTCGTTTCTTATCCAGCAGGTGTGTTTGCCATTGGTGATTGCTCTGTCTCTACTTAGCTGGGTTCTTCTCTCTTTCTTTCTTTCTTTCTCGCTCCAGAGCAGAGCAGAGCAGAGCGGCGTGATTTGTGTATTATGTACAACCAATCGATCTTTTGTTCTTGTGCATTATTGGTGTTGGTTTGATATTTGTTGGCTTGCTATTCTATGTTGATGAGGATCTTCGACTTGGAATATTTACCTTTTGTTTTGTCTCGTTTCCCTTTAAAACTGAGTCTAAGACCCATCTGCCCTGCGTTGTATGATCGAAGCCTCTCATATGGGTTTGATACAGCTTCTGAATACTAAACTTCCAATACCCAAACCCTTAATGTGCAGATCTGACCATCAACTTCGTTTCTTATCCAGCAGGTCATTGCCCTCCCTCGGCGACCACTAGCTTGCCTGGCTGCTGCGATTTGATTGCTACTCAAGGTAAAAAGATAGTTGAATGTTTCAATTTGTTTGCTACTCTAGGTTCATTTGATTTTGCTTTTACAAACTAAGTTTCCACCATCCCAACCCACCTGTGTTCTCACCTTGGGCTTCAATTTGCGAGTTGGAAGTTTGTTCTTCTGTTATAGCCGATTTTGCTCCTTGCTCATACTATTTGTTCTAACTTTGAATGGGTTTATGAGTTTTGGGCGTTTGGGTTGTGGATATGTGTTTTCGGGTTTCTTATTGTGGCGTTTGTCTGCGTATTATTGAAACCCACTTTCCTTGTTTTGACTATATCATGTGCTTCGCAATATTATCATCTGTAACTTGTCAACGTTCGTAGTTTGGCTAGGTAATTCGTGTAAGCATAAGTGGGAACGTTTTTTCGTGCAGTACTTACAACTGCAGTGATTCAACTTCGCTTGTTTTCGGTCCCTTGCCAATTTCCCCTGAGATCCTTGTATCTCTGCTTGATTCTTTTGGCCTTGCATTGGCAACATTGGTAGAAGTCTGTCATCTTGTTTTTTCCTGCATGTAAGCTTTAAGTGGGAACCTCTTTTCTTTTGTTTGGAGTTATGATTGTGAGAGGAGCTTGTATCTGTGCTGATCCTTTTGCCCTCACTTTGGTAGTAAGTACCCTAAGCATTGTCTCGCCTCAATTATAGGTGCTTCTCAAAATGAATCATCAAACTTAACCTTTTGTTTGTCGGACCCTGTTTCTCTCGTGGACCTTTTGCCCTTGGCCTCTGCTATTATGGTACTGGTCATATGAATTATCTTTCTAATTTTTGCTGCTTGGATAAACTAAAAATGTGGATGTAGTTTTTACCACTTGATATGATAATGAGGAACTCGATAGAAGCAGTAGCTTGATTCTGCTGCAGAAAGAAGCAAAAGAAGCAGTAGCTGAAAATCTAGGATGTCTTTTAGTTTGTGTAGATGATTGAATGCTGAAAATACTTCTTTCATTTTAGGTTATTGCCTTTGATGGATTCTGACTGAGCCTAGGTTGTTTTCTTGTTCTCCTTTTTTTTAGTTACAGTATGACCTGTTTTCTTTTTCCTTTACACAGTAAATGATAATTGCGCCTAAAACTGAACCCTTATGCAGTTTTTATGTGTGGATTTGCATAATTAAAACAAATCTCATCTGGATCATATCTTACAAAGTATGGATGAAACTAGGAGAGAGATAGTTAGGTATAAACGTAAGAGAGATGAGGAAGAGGAAGAAGAGGAGTTGATTGTGTTGGTAATTGTATTTCTAGCAATTTTTATTGGTTCCCTCTTTATGCCTGCAAAAAGTCAGTCATATGCTAAACATTTTGAGCGTAGATTTTTTCGTAGAAGAGATCATTTAGATACTATACTTTCTCAACCAATATGCGTTGAGCAATTACGCATCAAACCACAAGCTTTTGAGAAACTGTGTCGCATCTTGCAAAATAAGGGTGGTTTAGTGGCTTCAAGACATGTGTCTATTTCAGAAATGGTGTATGGCATTTGTTGTTTATATATCTATACTGCTGGTGTATGCTTGCTTGTACACTGATCAACTCAATGTTTATGAGGTTTGTTGCACACTGATCAGGTATAAAGTGATTGAAACTCTTGCTGGTTGTTGTCAGTACTAGATTCATAGTCAGGGTATTTGTTGTGATTTATTTTCCCGTGATTTATTGCATTGATTTATTGCTGGTTGCTGAAGTGATCTGCATGTTTGTTCTTATTGTTGTAGGAATGAAGCCACAAGGAAGTATTTTACCCGGTAAATCTCGTGTTTATCGCCAAAGAATTTACATCTTTGGTATTTGAAATCATGTATTTGAAATACACATCTATCCAAACAATGAATTTTAAATCATAAGTATTTCAAATTCATACATTTCAAATACATATAATTCAAATACATATAATTCAAATACATATATTTCAAATTCAGCTATCCAAACGCACCCTAATTGTTTTTATATGTATATGTAATTACTGCAACTTAACTCCCCGCGGCGTAGCCATGGGTATCGATTCTAGTCTTTGTAAAAGAAAGGTAAAAAAAACCCGCTGTGTTTACATCTATTCGCGCAGGCCAACAAGTATTGAAAAACTCATTAAACCAGGAAAGAGATATTGATGATCCTAAAACTGGAGAAATAAAAGAGCACAGGGTTTGCATGTGTATGAAATCACTGTAGGGTCTTCTGATTTCCATAGGCCATATCCACTCGATTGCAACCAACCAGTTGGCATCAGTTGTTCATTTCTGCAAGTCAGTTGAATTAAATGGAGCCTATAACATTCCCATGATAAGAGAACAGGTAGAACATGTGTTACCTTTTCTTGGTCAAGTTCTGTTATGGTTGATGCGCACTGCTTCAAAGACTTCATCCTGGCCGTGCAGTCAGGTGATTGCTGCTCTAGAGCATCACTGGGAAGTGACAGGAGCAGATGCTCACTGGCTTTGGCGCTGTAGTCTTTGGAGTTTCACTTTGATTTTCATCCAAAAATCTATTGATAGTGGGCCTAACTTCCATACTGGTGTCAGACTGAGACATTTCTTGATGCTATAATATCTATATCATATAAAGCATTAGATGTCACATCCCTTCCATCATTTCTAGCATGAAGAGAAAATCCATAAGTGGTCTTAATTGATGGCTTCCAGGTAAAGAAAGAACTCCCGTGAGGACCACTAGAATCATCATCCAGAAAAAAACTGACAGACAATCCTCCTGAGGACTGCCTCTTCCAATTGAATCAGTTTCAGACAAGGAGAGAACTTTGGTGCTTTAGAAGCTGAGAGGAGAGATGTATTAAGGTGGTTTACTGGACTTCTACAAGAGATATCTCAATGGTTCATCTGCTCTCTGAGAAAGAAATGGGTGGTTAAAGCGTTCCTCAAAAGTCAACCTTTCCACTGTATGTACAAAGGTGAAGCTAAGTTACAAATGCAAATGTGATTCGAAATTTTCCCAAAATTCAATATGTTTATGAATGATTCTCTCTCTGATACTTTCAAAAATAGTCCCCAAAAGAGTAATTACTCCAGTGTTATTTAAACCGCTAAATCTGCTAATGTTTGATAAAGATGAAACTAACAAGGAATGTTCTCCATGTATACCAAATAGGACTTGGTGCAATGAGTTGCTCTGTCAGAAATCATAAGGTATTTCTCATTTCAAGTTGGCAAGGATGAGATACCTGGATTTCGACGCAGGCAGCAATCTGTGGCATAAGTTTCTGCAGCACTCATATTAACTTCTGCTGGAAAATGCAATTCAGTTGATTTCATGATATTCTGGAGTAACTGTGTAACAGACAAAGAATAGTGAGAATCACCAGCAAATAATAGAGAAGTATATTTATGGCAACCTTCTCTCTTATATACCTTCTGTGATTCCATCTTATTGAAGTAAGAAACTCCCAAGCTCTGAAATTTGTCTATATATTACAACTGGAAAATCGAAAATCTGGCCTAGTGGACGGACGATGATTGGAAAATAGATGTTGACATTTGACTCAAATCCTGACAATCTAATAAAGATTGGACTACAGAGTCCATTGTTGGCCTCTTGTTCCTGTCTTCTTCAACACACGACAGCCCAATTTCAACAACCCTCTCCACCTGTCTCTTGTTAAAATTCCCTACCAACTTGGGATCCACCATATCATCATCAATCCATGGCTTCTCCCCACCTTGAATCTTCTTCTTCCCTATCCTCACAAACCTAGCAAGCTCAGCTTCCTCTTCCTCTTCCACCTCCTCTTCCCCCACATCCTCTGCAACCAAATTCGAAAGCCGAATTCCTTTTACCAACTCCAGAATCACCACTCCATAGCTGTAAACATCGACCTTAGCCGTAATGGGCAGATTTGAAGCCCACTCTGGAGCCATGTACCCTTTCGTCCCTCTGATCTTGGTGAACTCCGAACTGTTGCTCCCTCTCTGAGACAGCTTGGCAAGCCCGAAATCCGCAATCTTGGGCTCAAAGTCATCGTCCAATAGTATGTTCTCCGGCTTCACGTCACAATGTATGACCCATTCGAGACACTCATGGTGAAGATAAGCCAACCCTTTCGCCGTCCCAAGAGCAATCTTAAACCTAACTTGCCACTCAAGGAACCTAGTGGTGGTTCCTTTGGAGAAGAGATGCTTGTCGAGCGACTGATGTCTCAAATACTCATAGACCAACATCCTGTGTCTGTTTTCAGAACAGAATCCCCACATTCTCACCAAATTCATGTGGTTGATCTTCCCAATTGTGGTCACTTCTGCCCAAAACACATCTTGACCTTGGTACGACTCTTCGAGTCTTTTAACTGCAACAACTCTTTCATCAACTAAAACCCCCTTGTAAACGGTTCCAGACCCTCCCCTACCAATCTCTTGCCTGAAACTTTTGGTTGCCTTTTTCAGTTCTGAATAGCTAAACCTCCTGAACTGACTTGCAATCGCTCTATATCCCATTTCGGCAGAAGCAGGAATCCCTAGCATTGAAGAAAGAAACCACCAACCTATTGCTATCAACAGGACCTCAATCGCGCCAATTGCAGAAGCAAACGAGTAGAGATAAACCCACCTCACCTTCTTCTTGTCTATCTCGTACATAGATGGAGAACCAATCATGATTCTCGATCCATCATTTTCGCAAATTGTATCCATGGGATTAAGAATGTGAGCTTCATTCTCGACAACAAAGCTCTGCGGCAGCTTCAAATAGATGCTGCCCGGAAATTCAGTTGATTGAAAACCATTAAAGAGCGTGCCTTTGGTGTAGCACCGCCCTTCCCCATCAAGTCTGTAGCTAAAACCAGCACACCGGCAATCGTCAAGGCAAAGCTTCCTGCAACTCTCCATGGAAGCTGGCTCGCTGAAATTGAGATCGAATCCCCAGAAATCTACATGCGGAACCTCAACGAACTTCACCTGATTTGGTCTTAAACAAGTGTTGATGTTGAACTTGGGCTGGCATCCTTGACTCCAATTTTGAACATCTTTGACTTGGTATCCAGGCGGGCAAGAACACTTGGGCGCCGGAGTGTACAAACAGATCCCATTCCTCCCGCAAATCCCATGGACGTTACATAGCTTAACCATGGCCTGCCACGTAATCACCCAGTTTCCACCCCTCAAATTGTTGTTCAAGCTGTAAAGCCTGAGATTACCGTCGTAATCCAAGGTTAATCTCCTTTTAACCCCAACCCCAAAATCAGAGGCCCTGAATTGAAACCTATCAGTAGACACGAATTCCCCCATCTCGTCAAGAACAGCAATTCTGCTGCTGTTGTAATTGTTACGGCCATTCTGGTACACGTTGTAATCTGGGTTCGGCCAGTAGATGCTGGAAACCTCGGGGCCATCGTAGATCAACCTGAGAACGTTATCGTTATCGAAGAGCAAGGAGAAATAACCCGACCCAAAGTTCCCCGGACCCGATTTTGAGACCAGAGTGGAGCTCTTTTTGAAGAATTGGGTCGGGAGAAGAGTGTCAGTTGGGGAATCGAAGCTCTGCCACAGAATTTTACCACCTGGGTTTTTAACGACGAGATTCCCAGTGTCCAGAAGCTCGGCGAGTGAGGCATCCGTGGAGCTGGTGTTGGTCTCCCAAACGAGGAAGCCGTCGACGTCGGTCAAGACTAAAGCGCCGTTGCTGCGGAAGGAAAGCTTTGAGCCTTTGGCGTTCACGGGCCGGTCTCTGTTAGCGGTCCAAACCACGGCCCGGTCGTTGGAATTGGTGAACCAGATTGAGAACCAGTAAGCGTTTTCGCCGCCCAAGCCGTAGAACCCGCAAGTGAAGGTTTTGTCAGGGGAAATGAACAAGTCGGTGTCGGATTCTACCGAGAGAGATGAGCCTTTCCGAAGTTGGGAGTTTTTGTTGTTTGCTTGTGAGGAAATCCCAGTAGGGAAGAGAGCTAGGAGGAGGGAAAGGGAGATGAGAAAAGTCGCAGGTTTGTAAGTTTGAAGCGCCATTGATAGGCATGCTCTGATAGTCTGATTTCCCGGTCGTCCTCGGCTGCGGGTTTTAACGTGGAGGAGTAATAATGACGACAAGGACTATTGTGTTATCCACCATAGCGAAGCGCTGATGGGTGGATGTTGGAAATTGGGCGTAGGAGGGAGACTAAATCCACCATAGAAATTGCGAGGAAATTGGTGCCGGCCTTGGATCTGTGGAAAACCCCTGCACAGGATTGGATTGGAAGTCGAGCTAACTAAACAACAGAAAGTGACCATTGGATTAGGCACTTTCGATTCCAACTACAAGTGTTAGTACTTAATATTTGCAAAACGGTGGTCGGGATTACGTTTTCCCCCAAGCTGCTGCCGACTATAGCACCCGAAGAAAACCTGATAACCGATTACCGTTATCGGATAGACCGTCGGAGAGCAGATCAGGTCAGTAACTGATGGGTCAGTAATTCATCAGTAACCCATTCTCATGTTCCCACGTGTCAGTCCCTTTTTTTATTTAAATAAAATGCGAAAGAGCAGTAAGGTAAAAAATTGCACTTACCATTATTTATTGCTAACGCTGACTTTTGACCGGGCTCAAGATAGGGTGCATAACCATGGGTTATGCACCCATCAATAACCAAATCTGTACCCTTCATTTAGAAAATCCAGATCTAAGGATGGAGAATTAAAGGCTATTTTTATTTTCACTAGCTTTCTTAATTGACTCATATCTTTTTCGTTTTAACTCGGATTTTAATTTTTTTTGCACAGATGGAACGAGTTCACCGTGCTCTACAAAATGAGATCAATTTTCAATATTTTTTTAGGAAAAAAAAAATTCTGGCCTCTCGGTACCAACTGCATACCATATGGTATCTTTTCGTTTTTAATTCGTTTTTGAAAACGTTTGCACAGCAGGGATGAGTTCATCATGATCTACTGGATCTACAAATTTCTGGGTGAAAAAATTACAGGACAAAAAAATACCACACAATACCATACAATACCACCCTGGTACGGGGTGGTATTGTATGGTATCTTCTTCGTTTTTAATTCGTTTTTGAAAACGTTTGCACAGAAGGGACGAGTTCATCATGATCTATTGGATCTACAAATTTCTGGGTGAACAAATTACAGGACCAAAAATACCACACAATACCATACAATACCACTCTGGTACGGGGTGGTATTGTGTGGTATACAATGTTAAAAGTCGTAAATTACAATTAATATACTTCTACTATCATGTATTCAACCATCCTACAGTATAGGTTTGTTCATACCACCATGGTACGTTTTTCAAAACATAGGTATGCTTTTATTTTAATACCAGTCAATACCATATGGTATAGGCTGGTAAAAAATGGCTCATTTTTTTTTGTTCGAAAAATATATTAAAGTGGATATCATTTTGAAGAGCACAATTAATCTGATCTAACTGTGTAAAAAAAATTAAATTTCGACTTAAAATGAGCGAGAAATCGTCCGTCAAAGATTAAATAGGGAAAAATTAAAGGCTTTCCATGAGAGAGAGGATGCTGATGTCATGCTGATGTGGACGGGTTACTCATGGTTACTCACCATAAGGTTACTCACCTGATCCATTCCCTTTTGACCGGACCATATCAGCGTCTCTTTCTCTCTCCTCGAAAAACCTTTAATTTTCATTTCCTTAATCTTTAATGGACGATTTCTCACTCGTTTTAAGTCGAATTTTTTTTGCACAGTTAGATCAGATTAATTGTGCTCTTCAAAATGATATACACTTTGATATTTTTTGGACACAAAAAAAAATTTCAGTTATTATCAGTCAATACCATATGGTATTGACTGGTATTAAATAAGAGCATACCATATGGTATGAAAAAATTTTGCCACATCAATATATATTTCGTTACTACCCAATACCATATGGTATAGTGTGCTAATATCAATATATATTTCGTTACCACCCAATACCATATGGTATAGTGTGGTAATATCAATATATATTTTGTTACCACCCAATATCATATGGTATAGTGTGGTAATATCAAAATATATTTCGTTACCACACAATACCATATGGTATAGTGCGGTAATATCAATATATATTTCGTTACCACACAATATCATATGGTATAGTGTGGTAATATCAAACAATACCATATGGTATAGTGCGGTAATATCAATATATATTTCGTTACCACACAATACCATATGGTATAGTATGGTAATATCAAGATATATTTCGTTACCACACAATACCGTATGGTATAATATGTTAATATCAATATATATTACCTAAAAGAAAAAAAAACAGAAGGAGGGAGAAGGAAAAAAACTCATCTTTTATCTCGTCTCATTTCCTCCGCAATCAAGAACACCAAACGCCAAAAAAGGAGAAAGACCGAAATTGAGGCCAGCGAGTTGATAAAGAGAAAAAACGCAATAAAAGAGGGTAGCTGCAATTTTTCTTCGCCGATTGGTGGAAAAAAAAGAGAAGGACAGAGGAGAACAAAATTGTCGAATTCGAGGACGAGGAAGACGAAGACGATGGGGAAATCGGCAAACCCAACAGAGGGGAGCCTCTCGAGACCATGGTCGCCGCTGACCTTACCATCTCCACACCCACACTCGTCGCTTCAATTTTTCATTTCCTCAACGAGATCGGGAACAGGGGAGGGAAGGGAGATTCGAGCAGATGAATATCTATAGGGATTCCGAACTCCGGTGTAATCCCCAGCAACCTGCGCTTTCTAGGTCGAGTGGTGGGGAAGGGGGCTTGTGATTGGGCGATGTCGGCGATGAAGAGTTCAAGCAGAGCTTTTAAACCAGCATTGTTCCGCCCTCATCTTCTTATGCCCAGTTGATTATCGATTATTAGAAGAAGCTCTAAATTCGGGTTCCGACGTCGCGACGGCGAAGATCCAATCCTCGACCTCAATCCTCCGTCGCAGTAGGGAGCAGGGAGTAGGCGTTCGATTTGAAACACTTATTCCTCAGTGTCAAGAGATTCCCGGAGTTGAATCACGACGTTGAATCTAGGTGGCGATTGTGTTTGAAGAGCTGCGAGGAAGATGGAGTTAAGGCTCCCATCTGTGCCTTTTTAATTTTTTTTATTTCTTTTTGTTATTTTTTTATTTTTTATGATAAAATAAATAAATAATAAAATTCCACGTCAGATGCCACATCAGCGCTGACAAGATTTTCAGTTAAAAACTAACGGTCAACGCTAGTCAACTCTAACGGACAAATAGTTTAGGACACAAATGTCATATCGAATACTTTATGACACAAATGACACAAAGTTAATAGTACGGGTTTCCCAGTGGTATTAGCCCAAGAAAGTAGCAATCCTTTTAAAGAAAACCTCCTATGTGTCATAGGTTGACACAATCGATGAATCGCTTTGCTCGATGGGGGAGTTGTAATTTTGATCACAGTATGAAGCTATTGGTGTCACGAACAACAGGGGTATAGTCAGTATTTTATTGTGGGTGAGTCAATTTTTAAAAAATATACATACAATAAATAGTTATGTTAACTTTTTAAATCATTCATGATATAATTTTGTTTACAAAAATTGGCAATTGGAATATATATCAAAACTATCAAAAATATCACTCCATGTGTATCAAACAATTATTCATAATTTAGTTAGACATTTACTTTTGAATGATGTTCTTTGTCAAGACCGTTTAGTATCGATAAATCGAGTTGTTGGGAAATATTTAATAATGAATCTAATACTATTTAGTATTTACTAACACTTCCCCGCGAACCAAAACCAACTTATATGTGCTTAAAATTTTTGCAAATCTCTCGGTCAATCATTATCAATTAGTGGCGCTCAAAATTTCATTCTCAATTAACTATTTTACACATTGTAAAAAAAAACTATTATACTAATGAATCTAATACTATTTAGTATTTACTAACACTTCCCCGCGAACCAAAACCAACTTATATGTGCTTAAAATTTTTGCAAATCTCTCGGTCAATCATTATCAATTAGAGTTGCTCAAAATTTCATTCTCAATTAACTATTATACACACTGTAAAAAAACTATTAGACTAATTTACTCATTTTCGTCCTAAAGAACCACCCGTTACACTCTCCCTACCCCTGATTGAAATAAAATTATTTTTAACAGTTAGATATGATTTGGTGAAAATTTATTGTAGATGTTGAATAAATACATCTTTAATTTTGGGTGAATCATATGCACCAAATATTTGAAAGGTGAACTATTCTTATTTAAACCTTAATTTAACCCTCTCCCTCCGCCCAGGAGGGTGTTGTCCGACGATGATGACCCAAATGAGAGGACTGAGCTCCACCCATTGATCAAATCGGGCTACTACGGGCAAGTAGCATTTAATCTTGGCTTCTCCTTTATCCTTTAGCAGGCCTAACTAACGGGCCCAAAGTTGGCAGAGTGAGGCTCGGTTACAACTGATTAATTTCACCATAGTAGAAGTGTCTATTGTCAAAAATATCCCTTTCCCAAACATACAAGGAAAAGGCCAAAACAAAGCCCAATCCCAAACTCAAACAGAATAGGCCTAAAACACAAAACAAACACAAATCAAATTCAAGTCATATCCTAACAATCTCCACCTTGACTTGAATTCTCTCTCAAATACCAGATGTACCAGATGCAACCAAAGTTGCCAGATGTACCCAGATACGATCCATATTGCCAAATTTACCCATATGCGATGGAAATCGCCAGATATCCAGATGTGATCGAAATCACCAAACTCAAACGCGATGCAAATCGCCAAACTCAGATGCAATCAGAATTGCCAAACATACTAACTCCTCCAAATCAGCTGTACCAGAATCTCCCCTGCCTCCAAATGCCCCTAAGGGCGGTCAACAACTCAAACCATTCGGCAAATCCAACCCATGTTGAGACTTGCCATTCAGAACTAGCTTGGTGCACTTATCACCAACAGAACATGTCAAGACAGAACCTTGTAGATTATACAAGGCACCCCGCTTGACACCTTTCAAAATCACCTTAGAA